ACAGACAGGTTTCTCTGACCCACATCCACATTATTACAAATAACTTCATTTCTGGACATTTATGGTTTGATTTCTTTGTATGTATGGATCACTTGGGTTGTTACCAACATCTGGTGAAAATTTCATGTCATTAGCACCTCTAGTAATATATTTACTGAGAAAAATGGTGACATGTTCAATACTTATTTTACTCGCTGTACGTGTTAGCTTCCCTTTACACTTAAGGCTTCCATTCTCACATTTCATTTACGAAAACTGTGTAGCCTCCGTCTGTTACCTCCTGCCGACACTTATGGATGTGGCTCACAGGAGTTTTTTCCCTTATTATCTCCTAGAAGCCGCTTGTTAAATTAGCAAGATGGACATTTTCTAGGAGAAGCTCGTTTGGTCCTACTGAGCACGCGTATCTTTACTGGTAGGTATCCCAGAGTTTCGTATGCAAGTGTCGTGTGAAGTCTGGTGCCCTCTGGTTGACTGTCTGCAAAGTCGTCTGACAGAGCATGTCTGCTCATGCTATACTCCAGGTTTTTTTTAAATATTTAAATAAAATATTCCCTTAAAACCTTTTTTTAGAAGTGGCCATTTATGTGTGAGCCCTTGCAATAATGCAAGTTCTGTTAACACTTCAAGTCTGCATTAGGAAGTTTTTTTTACCTCAGCATCTGTAAAACTGACTGTTACACCTGTTTTAATTTTGTTTTAGCTTTTTTAAAATTGATTAGCCGTTACAAACATTTTGAATTGTGTTAAGTCCAAAAGTTAACATGTTACAGATAACTTCCTAATATAACTAAATGAATAACTAACTCTAAAATTTTTGAAGGTTTAATTAAAATTTGAGAAATCAATTTATTCATGAGATATTTTGCTGACAGATGGACAATCGAACCAACAAAGGCCTGCTTTATGTTTTATTGCGTTTTAACAAGTATTAGAAACACTAAAATCTACCAAGAATCTCCTTCTCCTGCCTTTCTCTGGAGTTATCATATTCTCACCATGCACTCGTGGGTTTTCTCCCATAGATCGTAAACATGTATTTTAGGTTATTTGGTAACTCTAAATTGTCCCTAAGAGAGTGTCCAACTTGTCCAGAGCGTCCCTGCCCCTCGCTCAGTGACAGCTGGATGAACAAAACAACAAAACGCGAGGGGGAAAAAATGAAATAATGGATAGTTTTTCTTCTTTTTTTATTCATTGTTCCCTGTTGTCCAGCTTTTGAGTACAGCTTGGGGTTTTTCACAGTGTTTGAGGATTACAAAAAAAACCTTTTGCAGAAACATTCCCAGTGAATTTATGTGTTTTGATGTGAAAAATGTCTCAAAAAGTGGCAGAACAGTGAGAATGTCTAAAAATGCCGTTTTCTCACCCTTTTTTTACCCTTTGGGAATAAATAAAGAAATGCATGCTGAACTTGCAGGGCAAAACTAGTTTAAAAACACTCTTTACTTGCTTAAATAAAACAAAGTCAACAGAAAGATCTTGTGCATTGTCGTGTGTTTAAACACACCCTTCCCAGTCTGCCAGGCAGGAAGAGACGCACTCGGCTGGGCATTGTGTTGAAGGGGGACATGCCACTTGGCCTCTCTCTCACACACACACATACGCACACAGTGCTGGGTCAGGCAGGCATCGCTCCTAACAACCGGCACCTGGGTCGGACGTTTCCATGGCAAACTGTACCAGCAATCTTCCCACGGTGGCAGCGAGAGCCCTGCGCTGAGTGCTGCGAGGAACTGTGTGTGTCCGTGTTTGTGTGTGTGTGTGTGTGCAAGCACAAAGAGGCGCTATCTTGTCCAGTGAAGAGCACAGATGTTCAGACACTCACTGAGCTGAGTCCACTCTTGACCTCCCCCCATAAGTCTGCACACATTGGCACGTTGAAAGACACGCTGAAGGAACTGATGCTGGCTTTCTTCAAAAAGGCAGTTCAGCACATTCAGTGTCCAAATCACCTGTGTGAGGTTCCTCTCATTCAAAAAACTCTAAATCGGTTTCATCTTTCATAATTCCTACCACCCTCACGTCCGTCCTTCCTTCCCTCTTGCTGCTGTCCAACAAAGCAGCAAAAAAAAGGAGGAACATGAGCACAGAAACAGGGAAGGAATGAGAGCAGGATCAGATTGGAGGCTAATTGACTGAGCAAAAGGGTGGAAAGATGGAACCATGGTGTGGGGTGGAGGGGACGGAGGGTGACACGCCAGGGAAGGGTAGATTAAAGGGAAAGGGAGGAGGGCCAAGGAGAGGAGGCGGGGGAGAAGAAACTGGCAACCCTGCCCCAAATGCCAAAGTCCTATTTTGTCATTGGGTGGCTGTGACAGAGAGAGAGAGAGACAGACAGAGCAGAGACACAGACTATGATTGGATGTCACTGATTGTGTAAAAGACTAAAGCGGCTTGTGAATTTTCTTAGTTGTCATGGGCCCTTGGGGGTTGATCGAGTGGCTCCGCGGATTCTCAGAAATGGACTCATGAAGAGGCAACAACAGGAAGACGCATGTGACAAGAAGTAGCTCAGGACAACAAGGCTTTTATAAGCACAGGAAGGCAGGGAGCGAGGAGCACACAGGGAGCCTCTTCAGCGTCTTCCCGCATCCGAGAGAGCCAACGAGACGACCCGTTTACCCATTCATCCACCCATCAATCATCGTCCGTCCAACGGCTGAAGAAAGGACGAGGGAAATGAAGAGACCTCACGACTACAGCTCCCCGGACTCAGACACCGACGAGTTCATCGATGTGGGACAAGAAGACAGCTTCTGGTGAGCGTCTGCCAACCACACCTGAACATGTCACCTCCAACCACCTGCCTCAGGAAACACCTCACTGCTTGTCTTTAAATCCACATTTCTTAAAATGTCAGTCATGTTTAGGCAGTGTTAAAGTTCTGTCATGGTGGAAATAAAGTTACTTTGTTGGTTTAAAAGGTTGACGTGGAGTATAAAATAGTGTTCTGTGTAAAGTAAAAACGTGTTGTTTTATAGTAAGTAAATATCATCATTGTCAAAAATTTCTATGTGATTTTTTTAAGCCGTTTAAAAACACAAAAGTAAATTTAATTTATAACTTTAAAAGCAAGTTTAAAACTAAAACTTATTTTTGGTAATTGTCAGAAATCTTTTGATTTCTCTTTACAAAATAGTTATAATAATAAACACTTTTCATGTCAGCTAAAAGAAAAATAGCAAAAATATTAGATGTGAGGCCTGCTATGTGGCAGAATGTAGTCACAGTTTTAGAAAAAATGGTTTTCATAAACATATTATAGGAACAACTTTACATCAGTCATTTTCCTCAGGTGAATCTGTAATTTAAACCTAATTTTAAGTAGTGATTTTCTTGCATTTTTTTCCTCATTTGAGACATTTTTATTTGATAAAGTCTCAAAAGTTAAATAAGTTTTAGCTTGACAGCCATAACATCAAAATAACTTTGTAGTTTTACAATTATTTATCTTTTCTTTGAAACTATTTTATTCAGCCACACAGTTCTTTTAAAGTTTGATGATTTTATTTGTGGCCTGTTTTCCCAAGACTTGTGAACATGCTGTTTTAGAAAAACATAGCGGAAAGAAAAGAAGGTTTATGCTCGGCGCAAAGTGAAGTTCCTCCAAAAGAAAAGAATCTTTGACAAGTTTGCGTGCAAAAGTGACCAACAGGCCCACGCCATTTAACCACAAGCCTTTACACATCACTTGTTTCATTGTGGAAAACATCTGATAAGCAAGAAAAACGGCTCTGAACGTTGCACACTTCCTTTTAAAGGCAATAAATTGTTTCACTTTAGCTGATTTAGTTGCGTTTATCTTGACTGGAATTACACACATCTGGACTAAAGGGAATAATCAAGTGTGAAGGAGGGGGGTGGAGGGGGGGGCACAGAAAGTCTGCCTCGCACGTTACATGTCAAACACAAAGCTAGCCCGTGACATGAAAGAGGCTTTTTAATAAGTTAAACTGCTGCGTGATGTGCAAAACAGACGACAGCGCTGCCTTTTTAAGTCGTCCACCATCAAATAGAAAAACCTAAACAAAAACACTCGTCTGCACTGGCGTCTGCACATGTTCACATCTAATAGTAATGCAATACGTCTCCTGTGGTGCAGTTTGAAGGCAACGCCGAGCTCTTTCAGGGCCTGTGAGACGAGAGTTCACAAACAAACGCGGTCCATTTTGACTGACAGAAGAGTTTTAACTCTACGTAAAAGCATCGCCCCCGAGGCTACGCGATCGTCTTTTTGAAAGCTTTTGCTCAGACGGAAAGCAGAGCAAAGAGGCCGTTTTTACTGGGACTAATGTTCGGAAAAGAAATTAAACCCAAAACAGCTTCTTTCTTCTTCCTACACTGTTCCATCTCCAAAAATACAGCAAATAAGATTTAGTGTGCCATTGTCTCTCTGTGACACATTAGGGAGGGTAATAAAAACAACATGCAGCCGACTCAGAGTTACCATGTTTCCTCTCTGTGCCAATTTAATCCTCCTGTCTTCCTTTTCATTCACTCGCTCCGGTGCAGCCCGGTCACCGGGTCCATGTCCCCGGGCAGTGCCTCGCAGATTCTGGCACGAAAGAAGCGACGAGGGGTGAGTAAAAAGTTTGGGTCTTCACAACATTTCAGTGCTCTTCGTTCAGTTGCCAATGATGGACCTCTGCTCCTCGCTTCCAGATTATAGAGAAGAGGCGCAGGGATCGGATCAACCACAGCCTGTCGGAGCTGCGCAGGCTGGTGCCTAGTGCTTTTGAGAAACAGGTAACTGCCTCGAAACAATTGGGACAGCCTTTCAAATGAATCAGCTTTGTAAATCAGGGCAAGTAAGTTGTTGCTTACTTTCCTCCGAAGGGTTCATCTAAACTGGAGAAGGCAGAGATCCTGCAGATGACTGTGGACCATCTGAAACTGCTGCATGCCATGGGAGGGAAAGGTACAGGGACATGCGAGTCATTAACGCAGCATTTAAGGTTCTGACTGCACATCATTATGTTTGACGAAGCCCTTTTGTTTTTTTCGTAGGGTACTTTGATGCATGCGCTCTGGCAGTGGACTACAGAACCCTGGGCTTCAGGGAATGTGTTGGGGAGGTGGTACGGTACCTGAGCTCACTGGAGGGAGACTCACCAGACCCCATCGGAGCTCGCCTTGTTTCCCACCTCTCCCACTGTGCAAGTGAGCTTGACCCCGTCCTCCTGCAGTCCCCCCCTGCCTCCGCTCTGCCCTTCCCTCCTTGGCCGTGGGCCTCCTTCCCTCAGCTCGCCCCCTCGTCGCCCGCCCCCTCCTCTGCTTCCTTCCCCGCCGGGCGAAGGGAACTCGCCCTGCTAGGGAGCTACCCGTCGCCCACCTCTCTTCGGCTCGCGCCCCTGGCCGGCTGCCAGCAGGGCGCCACCCCGCTCCTCGCCCCAACAGCTCTGGCCCCCGTCCACAGGGTCACCTCCCTCACAGCATCTCCAGCCTTGGCCCCCTCCAGAGCGAGCCAAACGTCCCCCCACAGCACCACCAGCGCCTCGCCACTACCTCTCCCCACCCCTTCGTCTTCTTCCAGCTCCTCTTCCACTTCATCTTCCGCCGCCCCACAAGTCTCCTTCCGGCCCTTCGCACCTCTGGGGTCTTCCACCTCACAGCGCAGGAGCTCAAGCGGATCGACCAAGGCGGTCTCGGGTTGGGGGACGGAGATCGGAGCTTTTTGAGGCTCAGCTCTAACAAACAAACTCCATACAGTGGGCCTCCCATGTAGCAACTATGATACTTTTGAACATTGTCTCTTCAAAGGGACTCTAAAAGCCATATCAGAAGCTGTGTGAAGTTTTAGTTTATTGCAACCATATATGATGGAATAATGAAGGAATGTGAAAGACTGGTTTAATAAAATTCATGTTCTTTGTCTGACAAATACACAGTGTTCACAGAGCCATATATGCAGTGTTATGCTCGCCACGCTGAAGGTTGAGTCTTTACTGATCTTTGAGCTGTGATATTTCTTTTTTTTTTTTTTTTGTTTAAAACATTTATGCATTTGATTAAGTTCTCTTTGTAAAGAATGTTTGACAAAACTGCTATAAAGATGAAGTGCCTTTACCTTTGTTCATGTTTCTGTTTCTTTTTTCCACAGACTCCGTGAGTAATAGGAAACATGTTTTGTTTTGTTTTGTTTTTTTGCAGCTATCGACACAAATAGCAAAGGAGAGGCAAGACGACAAAAGAGCCACAGTTTTGTTGATGGTTTATCCGAGTCTGTCACGTCTGCAAACACTGCCTTGTGCGTTCCACAGCCGGAACCCCTTTGAGCGTGTAAAGCTGTCTCCAGTGATGGCTTATGGGAGCTGTGGTCTTGCGGCGGCGGAGGATAAACATGGTGGGAGATGGTGATGTTTTTGGGATGCCGCGGCGAGGCAAACAGACCCGTCGCTGCGCCCTCTAAATGGCGGTCTCCCCCCCCCCCCCCTGTAATTAAGTCTACCCTCGTATCAGTTCGTGTATCTCCCTCTCCTTTACCACTTCCCCTGCCTTTCTCTCTCCAATCTTGCGGTGCGGCAGCGGCTATCGTCTCTCCCTGTTTGTCTCCTCAACAATGGACAGACAGAGACAAGAAGAGGGGAAGACAAAAGGGAAAGATCTAAAGGGCTGTGGTTGAGTGACTGATTTGGCATAGATGCTCAATAACAGGGTGGGAGAGGGAGGCAGGGACCAGGGTCAGGAGTTGATGAGAGGGACTGTGAGAGTTTTGAAAAGGGAGGGAGAGAAACGATGTGAAGCACAAAGCCAGCACACACACACGCCCGTACAGTGATAAATGACAGTTGCAAGCCGTTAAAGATCAATGTAACTGAGTGGGTTCACTGCAGACGCTTTGATCTACTTCAGGATGCGATGTCTGTGGCCTGCGGTTTCAAAATGTGTGTGTTCCGCAAAGTGCACATTGTTTATCTGAATGAGTGCGCCAGTGCGTGCCCGAGCCAGCCCCTCGTGCGTTTTGTTTATGTGGTGTGCGCTCTTGTTTCGAGTGTCTGTGTGTGTGTCTGTGTGTGCAACGCAAGTATTCAGAGCTGGCGTCAGGACTGAACCGCAGTGACGGCGTGGCTCTCGTGCGAGGCCGGCCGGCGGTCAGATGGACGGTATGGTGGAGGAATGTTTGTGGAGGGTGCTTTGCATGTGCACACACACACACACACACACACACACAGAGTTCCTTACACAAACACACAAGCTGGCTGGCACTATTCTAGCCTCTGAGTGGAGGAGCCAGAGTCACCACCACAGCTTCCAGGAAAAATCACCACGGTCACATTGCTCAGGATTTCCCACGGGGGGAGGGGCGCGATGGAGGAGGAGGAAGGAGGGAAGTGCTGGGGAAAGAGGGTATGGAAGTAAAGTGAGTAAAAGAGGAGGAGGAGGCCGTAGAGTAAAATAACACTAGAGGAAGACCCACCTTTCCCGCCCACTGCTCACACATCATGGAGGAGCAAAGATGGCATCCAAACAAGGCGACAGCTCTTTGACTACTCAATTAACAGCAAGCCAAACTGCATCTGTGTCACAAATGATTTGTAATCTTTTTACACTAAATTAATATAATTATTGGTTTATTATATTCAACAATCATGCAAAACAGCTAGAAGAAATGTAAGGAAAACATGTAATTTATCAGAAAAATGATCTAAACCAGACCTGAAGTCGGTCAATAAATAAACTTTTAAGCTAGTTGAAAAATGATGACTTCAACTTGTAGTAACGTGTATCTAATATTTATGTAGTGGTGATACTTGACAATAAAACTTGTCTCTATGGATATTGGCTAATCATCTTTTCAGTGGGTTAAGTTTCTGTAATGGAAACCTAAAAATAGCAATATTTTTTACACTGTGTAAATATTATATAAGCAAAACCACCCTGTGATATCTTCATTAATTGCACATTGCACCAGTAAGAGCAGAGTGTGAAGGTTCAACTAGCAGGGTAAGAGCACAGATTTGCTCAAAATATTTCAATGCACACAACATTATTGGTGACATACCAGAGTTCAAAAGAGGACAAATTGTTGGTGCACGTCTTGCAGGTGCATCTGTGACCAAGACAGCAAGTCTTTGTGACGTATCAAGAGCCACAGTATCCAGGGTAATGTCAGCATACCACCAAGAAGGATGAATCACATCCAACAGGATTAACTGTGGATGCAAGAGGAAGCTGTCTGAAAGGGATGTTATGGTCTAAAACCAGGTGTTTCAGTTTCATTGTCTAACCCCTGTATTTTATATTACGTGAATACAATTTCAAAAAAAGTTAAAAAAAAAAAACGTTTTTTGGGGGTTGTAGTGTGCGGCCTCGTTGGTGGGCTGGACGGAAGCCATGTTTGGCCTGCGGGCCACCAACTGAATAGCACTACTGTGTAGCAACATATGGTGCAGAAGCCAATATCTGCTAAACAATTCAATAATTAACAGTGATCACATCAGCTTTACAAGCTTATTTTAATTTTTAACTGTTAAATTATCAGCTTCAGTTCTGGTCAGATCACCTTCATTTTAAGATAAGATAAGATAAGATAAGATAAGATAAGATAAGATAAGATAAGATAAGATAAGATAAGATAAGATAAGATAA